TTGCCCTGTCACTGAAACTCTTTCCACACTCCAGGCAATTATATGGTTTTTCTCCTGAATGGATTCTGTGATGTCTACAAAGGGTTGCCCTGTCACTGAAACTCTTTCCACACTCCAGGCAATTATATGGTTTTTCTCCTGAATGGATTCTGTGATGTCTACAAAGGGTTTCCCTGTCACTGAAACTCTTTTCACACTCCAGGCATTTATACGGTTTTTCTCCTGAATGGGTTCTGTGATGTATATGGAGGTTTCCCCTGCGACTGAAACTCTTTCCGCACTCCAGGCATATATATGGTTTCTCTCCTGAATGGATTCTTTGATGTCTATAAAGGGTTGCCCTGTCACTGAAACTCTTTCCACACTCCAGGCAATTATATGGTTTTTCTCCTGAATGGATTCTGTGATGTCTATAAAGGGTTCCCCTGCAACTGAAACTCTTTCCACACTCCAGGCATTTATATGGTTTCTCTCCCGAATGGATTATTTGATGTGTATAAAGGGTTCCCCTGCAACTGAAACTCTTTTCACACTCCAGGCATTTATACGTTTTTTCTCCTGAATGGATTCTTTGATGTCTATAAAGGCTTCCACTCTCACTGAAGCTTCTTCCACACTCCAGGCATTTATACGTTTTTTCTCCTGAATGGATTCTTTGATGTCTATAAAGGCTTCCACTCTCACTGAAGCTTCTTCCACACTCCAGGCATTTATACGTTTTTTCTCCTGAATGGATTCTTTGATGTCTATAAAGGCTTCCACTCTCACTGAAGCTTCTTCCACACTCCAGGCATTTATACGGGTTTTTTCCGGTGTGAATTCTTTCATGTTGGCTGAGATGTCCTAAATGACTGAAACTTTTCCCACACTCCAGGCATTTATATGGTTTTTCTCCTGAGTGCATTATTTGATGTCTAAGAAGGCTTCCCTTCAGACTGAAACACTTTCCACACTCCGGGCATTCATAGGGTTTCTCTCCTGAATGGATCCTTTGATGTGTATGAAGGCTTCCCTTGAGACTGAAACACTTTCCACACTCCAGACATTTATAGGGATTTTCTCCTGAATGGATTCTTTGATGTCTGTAAAGGTGTCCCCTACAACTGAAGCTCTTTCCGCACTCCAAGTATTTATATGGTTTCTCTCCGGAATGGATTCTTTGATGTGTATGAAGGCTTCCCCTCTCACTGAAGCTCCTTCCACACTCCAGGCATTTATAGGGTTTCTCTCCTGAGTGGATTCTTTGATGACATTGGAGACTTTCGTTTGTTCTGAAGGATTCTCCACACTCCAGGCACGTCTTGGCTTTTCCGGGCATTTTGACCTTTTCCTCGTTCTGGCCTCTCTTTCCAGCCACCCTCCTCTCATGGGGTCCCTCTTGGCTCCGGATCATCTCCTCAGGGGGCAGCCCTTCCGCATCCCCGCAGCCTCCGTGCCTTTCCCCGCCGTCTCCCAGGGGAGCTGCGCCCTGGACCGGGCAGGGCTCCTCGGCTGGGCTCTCTCTGCTCCTCCGCCAGACTCGTCCGTCCTCCTGAGGGGGCGAAGAGGAGCGAGGCAGTGACAGAAGATTTCAGATACACAGAGTTTACATACAAATATATTTGTGTGTGTGTGTGTGTGTG